TCTCTCTCTCTCTCTCTCTCTCTCTCTCTCTCTCTCTCTCTCTCTCTATGTGCATCTGCTTTCCAATTCCAGTTGATCCATATAAATCAATCCCATTACGATGATATAGTGGAAGAGCGATCAATATCGAAACTATGCGGCTATCCATTATGCGACAATATCTTGAAAGAAATACCGAAACAACAGTACATCATCTCAAGTGCACAAAATAAAGTTTTCGATATCACCGAGCGTAAAAAGTTTTGCAGTAACAAGTGCTACAAATCATCCATTTATCTCAAGGAGCAAATTTTAACCTCGCCGCTTTGGATTCGCAAAGATGATGACATCATACCTGAATTCAAGCTATTGTCATTTGAAGATGCAGACAAGAGTGATACTAGTAATAAGGAAGACAAAACAGAGACACATGGTGATAATGAACAGAAATTAGACAATGTAAATGCTTGTGAAAATAAGAACGATGTAGAAAATAGCTTAAGTGAAAGTAGCAATAATACTGCAAAATAAGACTGCCCTATTAGGGCAATCGAATTTGATTAATTATCTGTTATATGATAATGAGAAAAATTTGAATAAATAATTGCATCATGCAACGAAATTTATTCATTTTTTTGTTTATTCTACCATCGTCAGTTTTTGAATAAAATTCATTTTAAAGTTGACCAATTGAGTCAAATTTCAATTTTCAACCACGTATATATTATTTCAAAAGAAAGTGAAACAAAAGTAGCTAATAATTTACGGTCTAAACAGATTTTCACTCTCTCATTTACGTTCGATTTCCTAATCGACTTCTAATGAAGCGAGGCCGATCTATGCTTGGCTGGATGGCTTAATCAAGATCATGTTAAAAAGTGTCGAAAGCGAATTCCCAAAAAATCGATATATATTCTTTTGGCTTCGACAAAAAAAATTGGGCTTCGAATTGTATTGCCAATGATAGAAAGGAAATTCTAAAAGTATATCCGGTTCTTGTTTTCTTCTAAAAAATTTACCACGTTGACAATTTGGTAAAAAATGCTAATAATAAAGGTCGTTTATTGTATTGGATACAATTTTTTTTGTATTATATTTTGCGAATCCATTCATACGTATTGACTTGCAACTATAGATTGAGAGAAAATCCAATAAATATACAAAAATTCAATTATAAATTAGATATTCAAATTCAATATGTTTAATTATTTCATAAATTAAAATTTGATATTTTTACCATGGCGGACGACTTATTATTATAAGTAAATAGTTCAATACATCTGAGTTTGATATTTTTCATCCATTATTATTGTATTGTACAATAGCTTATCAGGAAGCTATTTTTTTAATTAATCTATTGTTGATAAATGACACAAATAAATTTTGTTCAGATTGTCACGAAAGACTTTGCTCGTTTGAAAAGAGAAGGACTAATGACTAAAGACTCTTTAGTAAAGAGTTATTGCTATGAGATACAAAACTCTATGATAAAATCTACATAAACCAAATCGCAAATCGTCTTACCCTTTTGATCGTGCATGTTTGTCTTATATATTTTTTTATTGGTGGCCAATACTAGATTATCCATTTAAATCGGTGAACTAAAAGAGAAAGAGTCGGACTTTCGGACTGTTCGAACAAAATCAATTACCTTACCATTAAGGAAAAGAGAAGTTTTTTACAAAATTTGTCGAATTTATTTATATGTAAATTTTGGTTTTCTCAATAAACTACATATTGTTATCTGTACTATTACACAGGTATATATCAGAATTTAAGCCATATTTTTCTTGACGATTCCTACTAATTTGCATGTAAATAGTAATGACATCTACATCATTGATATAAAATATTGTCTTAAAATTCAGCCTATTAATATCGTTAAAATTTGTCATTGCATTGCCTTTTAAATGTTCCAAAAGTACAATTCTAATCGTCAGAATTACAATGAAATATAAAAATGGTTGAAGACATGAAATTCTATGATTTTAAACGATTTTCCTGAATCTATTAATTCACCGAATGTGAATACAAAATGAATTTTATTTTATTTAAATCTCAATGCAATAAATGTGCGACCCAAGTCGATTGGTCATTTGGCTAGATTTCGGTCGAATTTACTGGTGCGTACTTGCTTCGTTACTTCTGGTGTTGAAAAATCGATGAGTGGTCCGCGTTTAGGTAGCGGTAGCATTTCATTCGAAGCCATTTCGCTAATCATTCTTTTTCGTTTGCATGAGAACAATGGAGTTTCTAACAGGCTGTTGTGATGATTGTGTCTTTTGGCTGGTGTTTCTTCCAGTAACTGTTTTCCCTTCTCTAAAATATAGTCGACACGTTCTAGCGTGTTGTTAAATTGATCTTGATCGTCTTCGTTAATATTTCGAATATCTTTGTCGTCAACATTTGCTTGAATGTTGATTAATTGTCGCGTTGGAGTTTTATCGTTTGTTAATGAATCATCACTTTCATCGATCGATATTAAATTGACGCTTGGGAAGAATGTGTGATTTTTCCTTTTGAATGCAAATGTTCCACGTCTTTCACTATTTGCCTGAGAATTTGCCTCGCGTAATGGCGATATTTTAGTCTTTGATTCGCTCTCCTCTGAAACATTACTTGCATTTATTGAGCATTCTTTGATCGTAGATTTCGTGTCATCGTCTGATAATTTTGTGGTCGTTGATAGCTGCGATGTGGCACTTTTGCCACTTGAACCGAGCTGCGAATTGGCACTTTTACCAGTTGAATCGAGTTGCGATGACGTTTCCTCGATAATTGTGGACGGACGTAGAAAGCCATTGAACTTAAATGGTGACGATTCGACTGTTCCATCTTGTGTTTCGTCCAAATTCACAATACTATGATTAACTGTTTGATCGAATAGTTCCGATGGTGGTTCAACATCAAACAACATTGTATCGTTTGCGTTCATCAACCGCTCGTGTTTGTCTTCCATTTTACACTGGCGCTCCATTTCTAGAAAACTGTCTTCACCATCAGATAAATCATTCCACGATTGTGTTTGTTTTGGAAACATCATGCTGTTTTCCAATTCTGCCATGGCGTCTTTTTTTATCTGCGCCGATCCCACGCTGTGACTTTTCACTTCGGTCTGACTCTCGTCAATTGTAAAATCAAATTTTGATGCGCCCGTACTATCGAATAGTTTTTGTCTGGACGCTTCCAATTGCTCTTCACGTTTCTTTTGGAGAATTCGGGAGAAATTCGCATCGAGTTCGATTATTGGTGTATTTGGCGATTCCTGAAATCACACAACGTAAACAATGTACGAAAGTTGACACAAAACTAAACGAAAAATATTATGAAAGTCATTTACCTTGCGAGGCACCACTTTTGACATTAATATCCTTTTAATTGCCTCTTGTTTCTCTTTACTAATGGTTTTTCGACTATTTGAATCCATTTTTTGGATTATTGGCGAGTTCTCGACTTTGTTTATACTAATTTGACGTCTTATTGTATGCTATGATGAATGTCAAACATTACTAACGACGTTTTTGAATTATTTGACATTTGACAGTTTACTACGCAAACATGGCTGCACACTTGAACTACGGACTACAATTACACTTTCGTAAAATGGGGTTTTCAGTTAAAGTCCATATTTATTGATATTTTTCAAAAATGTAAATGGATTTTATTATGAGATTTTTTTTTTGTTGAAAAAAATGATTAAAAATTACATTTTTGAAATGTATTATGTTGAGAAAAGAAAAATAATAATGTTGTCATATAAACCAGAAATCGAATTGAATGAAAACGATTCAGATCGTTAATATTCAAAACTCAATTCAATGCGATTTGTGGTTTTATTCGAAAGTCATTTTTTATAGTAAACTTTCAGATGAACCGGATGGGTCTCATTAAATGAAAACCATTGCAATGGTTAATTTAAAAATTTGATTCAAATACGGTCTGTGGTTTGGTTCAAAAATTAATTAAAATTGGTCATTTGAGTTATTTGCTGCGAACTGTGTACTGAATTTTGGCGTAGCCTATAGGCGTTTGAAGCCAATTTCATCTTCGCGTGTCAAATGTAGTCGTGTCATCAAATGGGTGCGAAGCATCGTTACATTTTCAATCTGTGTGGCACAGAGCTCACACATCGTTGCTCTTGGCATAGACACCTTCCTGTGAATAAAATGAAAATAAAAAACCACATGAGGACCTTTTCCGATTGAATAATTTGAGTATGCTTACATGCTATGCAAATTGGCGCAATGTTTTTGCAATTGCCGTTTGGCGTTCTTGTCCATTGGCATCAACCGTGGTACGCCGTGTGGTGGAAAAATCGCCTTTCCGACATGAAAATCTTTGAACGGCTCAAATTCGCTACAATCATATTCCTTCCATTCATGATCGCCGTGATTAATTTCAATCGGTTCGCGATTTTTTGTGATTAACCTGTGTTAGAATGAAAGAAATTAGTGAATCTTAATCAAAGTCGAGCGTTTAGTTCTAGTTAGTCATACTCGAGAGTAAGTTCTTTGACTTTTTTCATCAGCTTAAGTTTGTTTTTTGGTGCAAGCGTATCGTTACACACATTTTTGCCGATCTGGTGCAATAATTCCCCGATGCTGTACCGAATCTGATTAATCTGATCAAATGAGTTAGTTTCAAAAATTAACCAGTGTGTTTGCTATACAGTAATCTTGTTGACTTACAAGTTCAATGTCAGATTTTTCCAAATTAAAGTCCAATGGAAAAACAACATCGTGCTCAGGATAATATGGTTGATTTCTTTCGTCATTGAATCCAAGGCCAGTTCGTACACTGACGTATCGTGATTTCCAATCGTCGCGCTTCAAATCCATGGCTGGACAGAATGTCATTGCCATTAATGCACCAAAACCACGAATGTTCGGCAAGGTAGTCGTTTCGTGGATAATAAAACCTTTGTTTGATTTTATATCAGTTGTGCTGATATGTGACGCAACCATGTACTTCAAGCACAAATCCTATAAACAGAAAACAGTAAATTTTACATCGAAAAACTGCCATTCAAATGGATACCTGTTGCATTGAATTGAGGAAAACACTGTTCACTGAATGTGGATCAACCGTGATCGATTGCTGTTCATTCTGAACCAGCATCGAATACACCTGGGTTTCTAATGGACTGTGCGGTCCTTTCAAACGAACAATACGACTGCACTGGATGTCTTCAACCGGCTTAATCGATTCGACATTTGCAATCGGATAGTATTCACCACAATCATCCATTTCCAATGCGGATTCGTCAATCATGTCCAGTTCAAAGTCTTCTTGCACACGCTGGCGCTTCAAATAATTATCCTATTGATGAGGTAAACAATAAATTACAGAAAAAATGGAACAATGGAATGTTTCGCATTTGGGTTGGTGAAAAAAAGCCAATCACGGTTGAAGTTTTTAATAACTTCAAGTTGTACGAATGAATTGATGGCTCACGGCCGACAGATTTCAAAATAAAAAAATGACTTACCATCGACAAGTAGGTTTCTTCGCAAAACACACCATATTGCTCGTAGATCAATCGATCATTCATATTGGTTCCATTCAAGAAAATGAAACCATTGACCACCCCATTCACAACGGAGTAAATCTAATCAAATTTTATGAACAATTGAATGAGAATCAAAAATGGAGACTCTTCTTTCAAAAATAATCTCATTCAATTTACCTTGACTGTAACGTCGACATCGAAAACAAGCTGTTTGAACAAACTGATTGCATCGTGATCCCACAAATTGCCACCGCTGATGTTGGCTGTGTTGGCTTGAATGTTCGCCAATCGACACTGGAAGCAACGCGGTGGCATTGTTGCCAAATCATTGTCATCACACGTAAATACAAACAATTCATCAATGCTACATTTCTGTGTGTGGCCATAGTCAATGAAGCATACAAGTGCATGCTTGTAATCAAGTGTAAAACAATCATATTCCCACGCGACCAAACGAGCCCGATACAACTTGTTATCACAATGATCACGAGCCACGATGATTTGTTCACGTGTCACAGCTGCACAGTCCACCAATTTATCGATGATGCCATTGGAATTTTCGTTCAAAATTCGCTTAAAATTTTCAACACATTGCTCTTCGCTTTTTGGCTGAAACCAGAACTTTGAACAGTGTTCGACCTGTGAACAAAAAGAGAACATTGATTAATTTTCAGCAAATTGCTTATTTTTCTGGTCGTTTTAAAAAAAATCATGCTCAGAGGGGAGACTTACGTATGTGATTTTGCCAACGACTTCTTTCTTGATGACGCTTGGTATGCACATGCTGCCGATTTCATCGCGAATGTTTTTCTTCAAAACAAATGTTGAGCCAGACATAACGCCAAGACCAATATCTTCGGCCATCTTTATATCCTTCTCTATCCTGAAAAATCAAAGAAAAACCAAATGAAATCCCGCTTAAATTGATGTTTATGTTAAAATAACCATACTTCATGACACCAATGCTGGTTGGTAAGTTAATTTTGCGCATCTTAACTGCTTTATAGACTTCTGTGAGTGCTTTGCCGGGGATTGAACATTGTTTGGTATCCCAATCATTTCGTCTGTTATCACAAATGTCTTGCAATCGTTCGAATGTTACAAAAACCTTTTCCGATGCGTCGAATGAAATTTTAACTCCATCCAAATCCTCTTTGCTTACGACTGTGTCCAAGAACAGATTTCGAATTGAATCCACATACAATTCACGAATGTGATCCTGTCGAAAGCCCGTAAAATAAACTGTATTATTTGGATCACGGCCGTTCAATGCATGGTATAAGTCGCGTTCAATGATGGGATTTGTAATCGGTGCAGTGCCATAGAAATTTGGATAAAATGCACCGGCAATGACCACCTTCAGAATGATGCTTTTCTCTTGTTCTGTCCAATGAATGCCTTGAAGACCGGTCGCTTGATAAATGCCCAGCTTATCAAGGCGCTGCGTCAATTCTTGTATCAGTAAATGACATTCGTGCAATGAACGTACGTCCAAACAGTGTTTATTACAAAAATCACGTTCGGCTTTGAGTTGATCCGATTTTTTACCGAACTCTTTTTGATTGTATTTCAATGTCCAAACTTTGTATGCATTCAAAATGGCAAAGAGATCACTGCCCGAACCATTTGACCACTCCAATCGACGCGTATACTCGCTCAAATCACGTTCGAACGTAATTTTGAAGATACTTTTCGCTGTTAAGCCAGCAGCTGAAAACAGAAACAAGCAATTTAAAAAATGTCCTCATGAAATTTCAATGGATCCAATTGCTCACCCATTATGACGCATTCTTCAAGCACACCATAGCAATAACCAAGTGCAATCATTCGAGTGGCTCGCACGTCGATTGGTAAATTCGCCATTACACGTCTGAAAAAAAAGAAAATATGCGATTTAAAAAAAAAACCCTCATGAAATTTCAATGGATCCAAGTTCTCACCCAAGAAATGTTAGATCTCCATCGACCGGTATATAGCCCTCGTCTTTGTACGTAAGCAGCAATGCACCAAGCTCTTTTAGCGACAATACGGTATTGGCAATATCAATGACTTCTGGTTTGCTGTCTTCCATTGCCTGATCAACATTTTAAATAGATAAATTAAATAAAATATATTCAATAATTCAAATCTGAATAGAAATTTAACCTGGCCAAGGATCATATGCGGTGATTCCATTTCAAATGTTTTTGCCTTTAGAATGGCATTCTCCAGCGGTGTCAATCGCAATTCAGGTATCTGCGATTCGCGCATGTATCGCTGAAAAATAACGAAAGTTTGGTGAATGAAACGCATACCAAACGCCACTCATTTGCTCAATAACAAATTTTTAAGCAATTTTCATATGGTGATGTGTAAAAAAGTAAAATAAAAAATTTACCTCAAAATGACGGCGATAAACCAATCGATAGCATCGTCCATCTTCCAAGCGACCGGCCCGACCGGCTCGTTGTCGGCAATTGTTCCGTGATGCCCATGCCATCTCCAATGATGTGAAATTCTTCGTTGAGTCACTGTGTAGATACTTCATCAAGCAGAAATCGATGACTGTACACGAGAGAGCGAGATAAATTTTATTTATTTTATTTCTCAAGAATGACTTTTCTTTTATGACTTATTACCAAATTTGACATCCGGCACTGTGATCGAGCTCTCAGCGATGTTTGTTGATAAGATGATTTTGCGTACACCATCTTCGACGGGTTGAAAAATCGATTGCTGTTCTTCGGTGCTAACCAATGAGTGTAAAATGTAGATTTTCCACGCCAAATCACCTTTCCTGTAAACCAGAATGCGAATTGAGAAAAAAAGAACAAAATTGAATCTCAATTAGGCTTACGTTTCCGCAAATTCGGTGAGAAAATTACGCATCTGCCCAATTTCATAGATTCCTGGCAAAAAAATCAAGATCGATGACAGTTTGAGTGATCTATCATCTGGCTCTGGACACACAACGTTGATTCTTCGGATTATTGTCAATACCAATTTGTACATATCGTCACTTATGCCGGGCTGTTCCAAACTTCCAGTTACCTGTTTAAAAAAATTGTTTGTCACGAACAAAAGTTACGAGACCTTATGTAAGATTTGTGAAACAAATTAATCAATATTTGATTGGTATCGTACCTGTACGCCATCCAAGTCGTCCAAGTAGTATACCTTGACTTTGTACAAATTTTTCTTGTCGACTTTGACGATTGGAGCTGGTGCCCACTTTCCGTTTTCATAACACTCGAAGTAATTTGCAAACTGAAGGATGAACGGCTCACGATTAGACAATATATTTCATTAAAATGTCGCATAAAATGTGCTTACCATTTTGCTGTTGATCGTAGCCGACATGAGTATGACCTTGCAGCTGGTTATTTCTTTGGCCATGAGCATCCGTATGATGATGAACAAAAAATCCATGTCCTTATCGCGCTCATGAACTTCGTCTAGTATGATATGCGTAAAACCGGAGAGTGATTTTGATTGAATCAACTTTTCCAAGAGAACTCCTGTTGTACAAAAGAGAATTCGCGTGTCTTCACTGACGAATTTCTTGTCCAATCCAACCTATTTGCGGGAAAAATGAGATTTCATTTTTATTAGAATTTAATTTGTTTCATTCGATTGAATAATCTATGAACTTGTACTCTCGATGCATGCATGATATGCATGCATTTTGTCTCCACCGAACAGCATAACCTAAAAATGAACTGTCCATGTGCCCAAAAGCTAGTTCAGTTGCATGAATATTTCCTATATTTGGCCAAATGTCACACTCATTGACTACAATATTGGCGCAAAAATTTATTTTAAATTCATTTTGATTGATCTTACCTGATAACCGACAACCGTTCCCAAGTCCCATCCTCTTTCAGCGGCCACCCGTTCTGCAATGCTTCGCGCTGCGATTCGACGAGGTTGTGTGACAATAATGTTGCACGCCTTCTGATTTTTTCGCGCTTCATCGAGAATCATTTGCGGAACCTACATCAACGATTTATAAAAAAAAAAACAATTAAAACCGGAATGTAAAAAAAATCGCCACATCAACTCCACCTTCTTACCTGCGTACTTTTACCACAACCTGTGTCCGCTTCGATGACGACCGATTGAAATTTGGACACATTCTCGAGAATGTCACGTTTCGATGAGTAAATCGGTAATGCGTAGCCATTGCTGGTTCGCGTATTGAAATTGTACTTGGTGTAAACGTCGTCTGAGAAATTATCGTCGGTCACATCGATTTCGCCCATTCGTTCCAAATTCTTCTTCAACCTTTGACGCGTTTCCTCAATATCATCTTCGAACATATCTTTTTCATCGTCCAGCAGACGCGTCTTAATCGTCAACGGCTTGATGTACGCTTTCACGCGACCATTTGTCGACCCGCCTGTCACTGATATCGGCGTGAATGGCTTCCCTTTGCTAAACATAATATCCAAGAAATCCATTTTAACACACTTCAAATCACAGACTTTTCGCGAAAAATACGTAGTCAAATTGGCAAAGAATTAAATATTTATCAATTTTCTTCGAATTGTGTAGTCGATTAACAAATCGAATTAATATTTATGTGCTCTCACTTCAAATGTCAAAACTAAAATGAACTGTCTGCATCGCTTTGTATAGATATACCAACAAGGCGAACAAGCCAAACACACAGCATCACGCCATTATTGTGTGCTTGTGTAATTGAACACGAACTCATTTTTATACAGCAACAACAAAGGCTGTGCATGAAGTAACACAGTGTGTGTGTAGTTTGGCAAAAAAAATCCGTTTGGTTGTGACAATGTGATGCCGTGTGTTGCATGTATTTGATTTTTGTCATTAAGCACCGAATCGGTATGATTTTTGTCCAATCGACAATTCTACATGGCAACAAATAAAAAAACAACAATTTGAAATGATTCACACATAAAATTCGGCACAAATGAGAAAAATCAGCAAAAGAATGATGTTCCTTTTTTTCGAAATTGACTTTATGAATTTACTTTTGTCTTGAATGGAAATTGACATTGAAGCGAGTTGAAATACAAAAATTGTCAACAGCACACTTAGTATTGACCGGTAAAGACAAACCTTTGAATATGAACTCGGACACAAAGCGATTGCTGTTCATTTTTGCAATCATGATAACAAAGAGATGTGTTGTCTCATCTGATGTCAAGTATTTTGCTTGAAAATCAACAATGTCCAATGAAACCGATTGATGTGGACAATGCTTTGTCATCAATCTCCTTGTTCCATCCATCAATATGTTATGAAAACAAATATTTCAAGTAAAAAAAATTCCGAACCAAAATCCTTCATGTTTTTGTGATTTCGTTTGCGTTTTGTTTCAGACAGGAAGCAACTTTGCGAAGATAAGCGATTCTTCTTGAAAAGATATATTCATTGGAATATCGCATTCTAATAAGATAAATATGTTTTGCGATTCTCAAAAATTGAATTCAAACGTCAAATAAACAAACGAAAAGTCGGTATTATGACAAACGCTGCGTATGGACTGAATATCTGATTCAGTCATCGAGTAAGCTTTGAACCGTTAATAACACCTTTCCATCACATTTTCAAAGAGTATTCGCCAAAACATAGAAATGTCGGCTATGGAAAATCTTTGGAAAAAAGAGACACCAGGTCGGAAATCAAATTACATTGATCTCTTTCCGCGCTTGTTTCCCGCTCGACTTGACCAATTGGCCCAGAAATTGCGGTCGGACAATGGAGAAAAAAATAATACAATATCAACGGAGCTTCGTTTGGAAGGGAATGATCTATTTCGATCGAACGAATTTGTGAAAGCCATGGATTTTTACAGTGCAAGTTTGTGTTTCGCTGAAATTGGTACAGAGAATGTGGCTTTGGTGTATGCAAATCGATCGTCGTGTTTTTTGTCTTTGAAAATGTACGAAAAAGCGTTGATTGATATTGAACTCGCCAAACAGACAAACTATCCGGATCGATTGTTGCCAAAATTGGAGGAACGACGAGCCAAATGCCTGCGATTGATGGAAACTGAGATAATCGAACAAAGTCAATTCGAACCGAAATTGAGTTTTCAACCACACGATCGATTCAATTGTTTGGCAAACGTGTTGGATATTAAGTACAATGATCAATTTGGTCGTTTTGTTGCAGCCACTGCAGACATCGATGTTGGAAAAACGATAATGGTCGAGCAAAATTTCGCATCCGTGTCAATTGACGACGAACGAATGACGTGCACAAATTGCATGAAAATCAATGCCAATTTCATCGCTTGCCCACACTGTATAGGCGTAATGTACTGTAACATTGAATGTATGCAACAAGATGCGATCCATGAGTTGGTGTGCGGACAATTTCAGTCGATTGCTGGTTCGATAAAACTGTATATCAAAACGATTTTGATTGCCATACAACTCTTCGAAAGTGTCGATCGCTTGATAGAATTTGTGGAAAATGCTATGAAAGCCGGTAGCAATGATGTTCCAGAAACAGTTATCGATACAAAATCACAGTATCGGCTATACTTGACACTACATTCTGAATTTTGCACCGAAGACCAAAACGACCTTTTTGTGGACGCTCAGAAAATATACATCACCTTACAATCGGCACCGGCAATCAAAAACCGATTCAACACACTGCGAAAACAACGGTTCTTACAACATTTAATATGTCAACACTTACTGGTCACCGCACGAAATCGATTTCAATACACCAGTGATCAACTGAAAGTCACAGACATCGCTCCGATGGGTTGCATATTCAACCACTCATGTGCACCGAATGTATTCAACGATGTGATTAACGATAAAGCTGTATTCATCACAATTCGTCCGGTACGAAAAGGAGAACAATTGTTCATTTCATATTTGGGTGAGAACGCTAGCAATTCGACCGATAACCGACAAATGAGCCTGTTGGAAGACTTTGGATTTGTGTGTGAATGCGATAAATGCCAACCGCACTGTTCGCACGTCGATCAAGCGAAAATGAAATGTGATTCGCATTTCACGTACGTTGAGCAGTCCTACAAAACCGCATTTGAGGATAAAATACAGCGAATTGCATTGAAGGAAGCCTGCATTGAATTTCTTCAGAAATATGGACACTTACCATGGTCAGATGAAATAAACTTAGTGATGCTATGCTATCTGAAATGGCTATTTGAATATATGCAAACAGATTTTTGATCAAACTTACGCTGTTAACAGTAATATTTTATCGCTAATTTTTTAAGGTTTTTATTGTTCTCTTTCTCAATCGTTCAAACATAAATAATTTTTTTTATTGCTACCAGATTCGGTTTAAACAAAGTAAGAAAAAACGATAAAGAGTATAAATGTTTTTGACCACAAAGAGTATAAATAGCATTGTTTACAGTATAATACTCACTGAATATTGTTTACCATTTTGTCATGTAGCAGCATGCAAAAATTTTGAACAAAAAATCAGGCAAAAATCAGCTTTGTTAAAAAATAATAATTTTTAAGGTAAAAAAAAAAAAAATCAAAAAAAATGATTAACTTTAAATTCTTAAAATATATTCATTTTACATTATTTAGTTGTAATTATTTGTGTTTTCATAGTAAAAAAAATTGATTTTCAATCATTCTCTTTTGATGACAACATCGTACAAATGTCACTAAGACAAGACAGCAAGCATCATGACATTAATAAATAGCAAAATGTTCAGGGACTTATTGGTTGAAACTTCCTGAATATCCGCTTCAGTTCCAAATTTTTCCAACTGATCAATTGAAATAATGAACTGAGATACGAACAATTCAAATTATTCTGATCGATACCGACAATTTTCGTTTCTGGAATGGTAAAACTTTTGAAACCATTCAGCTCACGCAACCGATTGTTTGCGATTAAGATTACCTCCAATTGCCTGGTTTGTCACGGTAAAATATCCGCATTCAATATGTTTAATACATTCTGTGACAAATCCAGTATTTGTAATTTCACCAAAGTCAAAAATGTTTCCGTTTGAATCTCTGTTAGATTATTTTGTGATATATTCAGATGGCGAGGTTGTACCAGATTTTTAAATATCCTGTTATCCAGTTTTTCAATCGAATTTATTGATAGTTTCAGTAACATCAAATTTCGGAGATTTTCAAATGTGTCTACAGCCAAAACTGTGATTTGATTGCTCGAAATGTCCAAATTCACCAAATTTGAATGGCTGCCTAGTGTCTACAGTTTTCTTGTGCAGCGTTGTGAGTTGACAGTTTACGTTGTGAGTTGACGGTATGAATCGTAATATTTATATGCACGATACACACAAGTGGGTATGACATCGAGCGTAGTAATGCCATTTTCACCATGGTTTTCGACACAAACAAGTGCTACAAATCCTAACTTATGGTGGTAGCAATTACCGACATGGGAGTACTTCAAAGAATTTGCAGATATGTTGACTGCCAATAAAACCAAGGCGAATAAAACCGGACTAATTTTCATTTTCACAAGTTTGCTTGAATGATCAATGTGAATGTTTTGAAAAGTAAGCAAAAACTGATTTTTACATCGAAGCCACTGGGGAAATAGTATAGCATATGGACACGATATTGTGCAGTTGAATCATTTTATAATCACTCTTTGGAGCAATAAAAATCCAAATATTATTGCTTCAATTTTTGCTGGACATGAACTGTTTACAATCCATATCTCCATAAAATTCAATAATTAATCGTTTTTATGCAAATGTTTGAGTTCGTTTTAAAATAAATGCAGAGAAACCAATACAGACAAATGTAAACACCATTGCACATTTACTTTCGATATGCTTTTCTGAGAGTAGAAAATCTTCTTCTTCTTCTTTAAAAAGAATGAAAACAAATTCCACTGCTTCGCTTTAACACATTTCGCACAACAGAATTACAACAACAAATAATGTACAATTTATTGTATTCGCCATCGGTTCGTCCGACAAATCAATGAGTTTGCATCAATTTTGATCTTTCCGACGCAGAAACGAAGTTTGCATGTGTATTTGTATTTTTTCCACTGTGTTGCTGTGTATGTGAATGTAAGCGTGATTTGTTTCGCCAATGTGTACTCGTCGATTCTGATTTGCATTCCAAGTCAGTTTATTGGTGAGTTTGCCACGCACAATACAAAAAATATAAAACGTCAATCAGAAAACAGTGTGATTTGATTTTGAACGATGACAAATTTGTGGGAAAAAGAATCAAAGAATGTTGATGCCCATTTTATCGATTTATTTGCTGATATTCGTAATAGCAAATCAATCGATGAATGGAATCGTCAACTTCAATCATCTTGGAAACATCGTTTTGTGTTGGCTGTCTTTGATGCTGTCAAAAATAACGACACTGCCAACTTTTTTCGAAACGAAGGAAATTTGTATTTCAAGCAAAAATCCTGGATCGAAGCGATGGAATTATATAGTAAAAGTCTAAGTTTTGCCGAGCCCGGAACCGTTAATCGTAGTTTTTCGTACGCAAGTCGAGCCTCGTGTTTTTTTCAAATGAAAAACTACGATAAATGTCTTATTGACATTGAATTGGCTGTTCAGTCAAACTATCCGGAACAAATGATGCCAGTTTTAATGAAACGTAAAGAAGATTGCGTGCGTTTGATGAAGCAACACACTGCTGATACTCCGTTCGATCCGAAACTCAGTTTTATTGCAAGTGAAAAGTTTCCATGCATGGCCGACGCAATTGAAATCCAGCAAAATAAGGAATTTGGTCGACACATAGTCGCCCGGTGTGACATTGATGTGGGTCAAACCATTTTGGTCGAAGAAAATTTCGTGTCAACATTCAGCAGCTTTGATCGTATTAATTGCTACGAATGCATGCAAACTATGAAGAATTTCCTTCCGTGCAACACATGTGTTGATGTTATGTTTTGCAGTGTTGAATGTGAACAACGAAGTGTTATTCATCAAAAATGTTGCGAAACAAATTTTAATCGTATGCCGCTCAATGTTCAGTATATTGGAAAATCGATTTTGATTGCATTATGCGCTTTCAACGGTGCCAAAGAATTGATGGATTTTACTGAAAATGTCTTATCAAAACGTACAACCAGATTACCAGAGGCGGCCAACGATGCAAAATCAAAATATGCCTTTTTCTTGAGCCTTCAATCGGCCGCTAAAGAAACACTCGACATTGTTACCGTTTACAAGGTATTCACTGCCATTTTGGACATACCATTCGTTAAAGGCGAATTCCATACTGAAGAACGTCGGCGATTTTTAATGCATTTAATTGGCGAACATTTTTTAATCATCTCGAATAATTCGTACGGCGGTTCATTGTCAAGTGCATCAACTGTTGGGACAACAGCTCTCGTTATGTCTTTCTTTAATCATGCGTGTGCGCCAAACGTATTCAATTCGTCGGCGTTCAATAAGGAAATCTGTATTACAATGCGACCAATCAAAAAGGTGAGCAAAAATACAACAGAATAAAATTAAAGCCAATAAATAACTCTTTTCATTTCAAATAGGGCGAACAATTATTTGTAAAATACCTATGTGGCGAACGTACAACGAGAGAACGCCAAGCAATACTATTGACGCAATGGGGTTTCCTCTGTAAATGTGACAAATGTATTCCAAAATGCTCACAAGCTGATCGTATGAAGATGAAAGCGGATCCAAATTTCAAGCAATTATATCCAGCTTTTTCCATCAATCTTCAACACGCAAACTACACAGTTTTGGCAAGCAAATGTGTTCAATTCTTACGCACATATGGACATTTACCATGGTCTGAAGAAATGGATGTCGCTTTGAAAACATACACCAAATGCTTATTGGAACCATTTCCATTTTCGTAATTTTTTTGATTTCATGAAACTCAATTTTTTTCGGATTCATTTGATAAACTTTTTGTCACTTTTTTATGGTCAATTTTTTAATTCGCCACCTTTCATTCTTTTCAATAACATTGATAGCATGCATGCTAAAAGGCATGCAAATTCAAAATGTATATGCTTCGAAGCATAGCGAAATTATTAATTTTAATACGTTAAATAAAATTATGGTGTGCATTAAAAGAACAAGAAATTGTTTTGATTTATGCTATAGTCTTCAGGTACTTTTTTGGCAGTGAAGGGACCTTAGTAAATGGTAAGAACGCATCTTCTTCTTTGATTGTATGACTTCACATGTAATTTGATAAGCAACGTACACACATATACATGAAGCATCAAATTTTGAAAAGAGCAACATGAATTTGGTTATCTTTGAATACGCTGTCACAAATACAGAAGAGATATGCATAAAGAAATGTTCGAACACTCACAAATACATGCATCCAATTACGAATGTACAAAATAAATGTCAAAAAGTTGGATTTGCTTGAAACTTACGCATTAATAATCAATTGGCTACGGAAATAAATAGACGTGCATTGAACCAAAAGCGATCATTTTAGACAGTAAAAGAAAGAAATTAAGAAAGTTTTTGAAACATAATGGAAAACTTGTGGAAAAAAGAGTCTACTCCAAAAAGTCCAATTTACATGGATATTTTTGATGGCATTGAATTGGTGCCGATTCCAAATGTCAAATTTGGTTTGCAAAAAAATGATTTAATATCAACGCAATTGCGTCACAAAGGTGATCAAAAATTCGGCGAAAATTTATGGAGCGAAGCAATGGAATATTACAATAAAAGTCTACGATTTGCCATCAAGGCGGAAAATGCAAGTTTAGCGTATGCAAACCGTGCCGCGTGTTTTCTACATTTGAAGATGTTTGATAAATGTCTTGCCGACATTGAAATGTCAAAGCGTGTTAATTGTCCATTGAAAGAGGTGATGATTAAATTGGACAAATGCAAAGCTGACTGTCTTAAAAGGATGAGACGAAACTACCAGAAGGAGACACATGATCAAGCAGGATTAAGCTACGATTGCGATGTAAACATTCCATGTCTGGCCGATGTGTTGAAGATACAGTACAACGAAAAATTTGGACGGCACATAGTAGCCAAGTGTGACATTCCAGTTGGTAAGGTGATTTTGGTTGAAAATGCATGCTTCTCAGCGACTTTGTCGGGACCTTTGACCGGTTGTACAACGTGCCAACGGTTACGGATGAATTTTATTGCGTGTGAAAATTGCACAATTGCCATGTTTTGTGATGAAATGTGCAAAGAATCAGCTTTTCACAAGTACGATTGTAATGTTATTTATGATCATGACACAATCAACAATGGTCAATTTCAAATGATGGCTCGAACGATATTCTTTGGATTGGAGGCGTTTGGAAGTGTATTCGATGAAATTGTTGAAGCCACCGAAGAACTCAAAGAGAATTATGTGCCCCAAACAATGATTGATATGCAATCAAAATATCGACTATTCCTAACACTGCCTACACCTACTCTCAAAGAAATAGAAAAACACGAATTGATGTGCAAAGCGAAAAGTCTATTCACAATTTTGATCAAGCTAACAACGGTGAATGGTGTATTTGACACAGTGGAAAAGCAACGATTTCTCATGCATCTCGTGACCAAACACGTAATTATTACTAGTGAGAATGCCATCAATGCCAAACATAATAATATTCAGCGCGTCGCAACACTTGGACTGATTTTTCCATTGTTTAATCACGTATGTGTACCGAATCTATTGAGTTATTCATCGAGCGATCAACAAATCTGTACGACATTACGACCAGTGCAGGCGGGCCAACGGCTGTTTGTGTCATATACCCTTGACGAAGTTTCAACTAAGTTTGGATTTCCTTGCACATGTGAAAAATGTGACCCAAAGCATTCAACATCTGATGTCACCAATTTACTATCGGACCCAGGTTATGCATTTCTCCAACGAAATCGCAATAACAATCTATTGAATCAAAAGAACAGACAGAATATCAAGAGAAAATGCATCGATTTATTGAATAAGCATGGACGTTTATGGTTTCCAGAGCTCGAGTTCGTATTGGATGTGTACATTAAATGTGAATTGCACGAAGAGATTTGAACAAGTGTCAATTTCAATTAATATCAAAATCTTTGGTCATCTCAACCAAATAAAATCTTATTCAAAAATAAAGTAATTTTTTTTTCGTTTATTTCATTACTATTTACACTCGCAACAAGTAAATGTACAGAAATATTTAAACAATAATTCTCTTCGTTGAACACATATCACCATTATCCAGTGATCTTTGCCATTTTTGAAAAATAAATGAGTTTTATTGCCCTTTTTTAAGTAGAATCAATTTTCCATTAACACTCATGAAAATGAACCTTTTTGTCAGCGTTATTTTATCTTTCGTTTGCACTCTGGTATTTTACAAAATATTATTGAAAGTAGCCAATGCACGAATACAGTGTGAATGTGATAAATGTGAAAGGAGACGTAACAGAACAAAAATCCAAAAGCAAATGTTCATTGGATCCATTCCTATCCATATAATTCTTTATTTTAAATATTTTTACTGAATTCGTCAAATTTCAATTGTTGAAAGTTATTTGAATAATGTTTTTTTTTTTTTCAAATCATCCACTTTCATTCAGTTTTATGTTATGTCAAGAATAAATTGAGCTCTTATCCCGCACATACACACACATCTCAAAATCGAATCGATTCGAAGCATTAGTTTCATATAGAATTGCGTGCATTTATTTTTTCCCCGCTATGATGTCATGCTCTGCTGTCATAAATTCCAAGAAATGTGCGAACACACACAAATACATGCTTTTAATGTGAATTATAAATGTCAGAGAGCTATATTTGTTTGCTGTTTCACAAAGACCACATAGATTAGTTGTACAGTAGACGCGAATTAAGGCACAAGCGTTAATTTGAGACAATACAAGTTACTTTTACTGACAACGTTTTTCACTATATTTTATCTTTTATTTCGCTCACATTCAGTAATGGAAAACTTGTGGAAAAAAGAGTCCAATGGTAAAAGTTCCATTTATATGGACATTTTTAAGAATATCGAAACTGCAGAGGTATCAAATGCCAATGGTTTGCCAAAAAATGACGTGATATCAACACATCTACGAAAAAAGGGTGATGGAAAATTTGGCGACAATTTATGGATCGATGCAATGGAATATTACAACCAAAGTCTACGTTTTGCTGTCGACAGTGAAAATGTAAGTTTGGCGTATGCAAACCGTGCCGCGTGCTTTCCACACTTGAAGATGATTGATAAATGTCTTGTCGACATTGAAATGTCAAAGCGAGAAAATTGCCCAAAAGATTTGATGGAAAAATTGAAAAAATGTAAAGACGATTGTCACAAAGTGATGAAACGTGAACAACAGGAGAAGACAATTGAAGGAAAATTAAGCTACGATTGCGATGTAAACATTCCATGTTTGGCCGATGTAGTGAAGATACAGTACAATGAGAAATTTGGACGGCATGTAGTGGCCAAGTGTGATATTCCAGCTGGTAAGGTGATTTTGGCTGAAAAATCATTTTTGTCAACGACTTTATCGGGTCCGATCACCGCTTGTACATCATGCCAAAAGACACGAATGAATTTTATTGCCTGTGAAAACTGCACCATTGCCATGTTTTGTGATGAAAAGTGCAAAAAAGCGAGTGTTTTGCACAAGTACGATTGCAATATCATTTATGATCGTGAACCACATTATAACGGCCCATTACAAATGATGGCTCGTTCAATATACTTCGGAATGGAAGCATTTGAAAATATGCATGAGATGATAAAGTTCGTTGAAGCGACAGAAAAAATCAAATCAAATTATGTGCCCGAATCAGTCGTTGATATGCAATCAAAATATCGTCTATTTTTGACATTGGCCACATATTCTAAGGAATATAAAAAGGAAACATTGATCTTGGCAAAACGTCTTTTTATGATTTTAATCAAACTACCAACAGTGAAAAAGGCATTTGACACAATGGAAAAACAACGATTTCTCATGCATCTTGCCACAAAACACGTAATCATAAAGATTCTAAATGCCATCAATGCCACACAAAATCAATGTCAACGCGTCGCAACACTTGGACTGATTTTTCCATTGTTTAATCACGCATGTGCACCGAATCTATTGAATTTTTCACGTGGCGATCAACAAATCTGTATGACATTGCGACCAGTGCAGGCGGGCCAACAGCTGTTTGTGTCTTATTCCACTGCCGATGTTTCAACTAGACAACGTCAGTTGCATTTATTGACACACTTTGGATTCCTTTGCGCATGTGAAAAGTGTGACCCAAAACACACCACAGCTGATGTCACCAAATTACTATCGGACCCAGGCTATGCATTTCTCCAACGAAATCGCAAAAGCGATCTATTGAATGACCAAAATAGATGGACAATGAAGAAGAAATGCATCGATTTATTGAATAAGCATGGACATTCGTGGTATTCGGAGCTCGAATTCGTATTGGATATGTACATTAAATGTGAAATGTACGAGTATTAATTGCCAATACTCATTAAATTCAAAAGTATCAAACAAAAATTATCAAAATAAAAATAAAATCATATTGTGAATGTAATAACATTTTAGTCGGTTTAATGTTTTTTTAAACAATTTTCAGTCGAGACACATAAAAATGAAATGTAAGTTGAAGATTCTTTCAAACAACAATTCTTCTTGTTCAATGGATTTCGTCACTAAATGACTTTTATAGCTTTTATTTCAAGTGGAACAAATTTTAAGTAGAACAAAAATTTCATGCACACGCATGAAGAAGTACCCTTTTGTCAGCATTATTTTCTCTTTCGTTTGCGCTCTGGTATTTTATAAAATATTATTGAAAGTAGCGAATGCACGAAAGCCGGCACGAATACAGTGTGAATGTGATAAGTGTGAAAGAAGACGTAACAGCACCAAAAACCAAAGGCATGTATGTGTAAATGAAGCGCTCTCACCGATTGCCTGTTACCATTTTTGTAAACATTAAACGCACACTCATACAAAAGCAATGCTCATTTGCATCGCTAGAAAGTTGTGTGATACAAGGATTGACTGATGATGATGACGCATATGTATGTGACAAACTAGTGTAAGAACATTCATGTCTCTCGCATTTCAAAACAGTTCTAGTTTCATTGTATAAACGAATGCATTGCAAAACCAATTTGGATGAAAAATATATAAGCTTACATTAGTAGTCAATTACACATCAATATCAACGAAAAATCATGCATAATGGGAACAAAACCATCGAAAATTGGCGAATCAAAGATAACGACGGCGAAGGTATGTTTGATTTCTGTGAGATAAATGAATTTCATCGATGAAAAAAGTGCCATAAAAAAGTGTGACTGAGTACTGTTTTTTTTAACATACTGCGCATATCATTTGAAACATTGCATTTTGTGTTTATAAAAAGAATAGCAATAAATTGTGTAAACAGTGAAAATTCAGGGATAGAAAAAAATAATCGAATAAATGACGAAATTCAGATGGATTTTTACTCTTGTGAATTTTGCGATGACGATTGTTTTTTGCACCGATTGTTTCGATTACAAAGACAACAGTTTGTTTCTTGATATACAACGACAACAACAACAACAATTTGAATTTTTCTTTTGTCAACAGGTATCGAAACATCTTTGGCCGCCACATTCGATTTCAAACCGAATATAAACATGCGATACGGTTCAAACAATAACGTGCATAATTGGCGAGCAACGTAAGTATTATCTGTTGTTTATAAGAAACGAAATGTTTGTCGGGCCAAATATTTAGTGTAATCATTGTGTGGCAACACTTGGCAGAAGCAACACCAACAACAACGCCATTTTGTTTATTCCGATAAATATTGCAAAGTGCGCAGTACGCTTTGAATAGGTGACCATTGACCAAGTGTTTGTTAAAAATGTCATCGCCGTTCATGTAAATTAATTGAATATTTTCCGTCAAAATCATGCTATAACGATATATTAAACGAAAAAAAAAATCCGTTTCTTTTCCAGACCGATCAATTACATGCTGTGGAAGACGGAAAATGGAGGTGAAAATGCAATGTACGTGAATCCATTTGCCAATATCCAATTGGACTTTCCGGACCGTGTTAAAGATTGGAACGAAGAATTCGCTGAACTCAAATCAACCGATACCATTGATCTCTTGAAGAAGAGTAACAAGATGTCCGATCGACTCATTGAATTTGGTCATGATGAATATCGTAGTCGTAATTGGAACGATGCCTTGAATTTTTTCAGTCAGGCGTTAGGTTATGCTGAACCGAATACAATGTATGAAGGTTTGGCCCATGGAAATCGTGCACTATGCTTTTTTCAAATGGGAATATATCAAAAGGCCGTTATCGATTTTGAATTTGCAATGGATAAAAATTGTCCCGAACAATTTTTGATCGATGTACAATCTACGCGTGCTGAATGTCAAAAACTGGCAAAAAAACACACTCAACCAAAGGTTCGTATGCCAAAGTTACATTTACCGGATAAAAAGTTTCCGTGCATGTCAAACAATTTGGAAATCAAGCGAAACAACGATTTTGGTAGATGCATTTTTGCAAAACGTGATATTGATGTAGGCCAAACGGTATTTGTTGCGGAAAATTTTGCATCGGTCATCACAACAGACAATCAAGTGTATTGTCTCGCTTGCCATAAGATCGAAATGAATTTCATCGGTTGCAAGAACTGCGCAAATGTTATGTTTTGCAATGATGACTGTATGAACTGGTATAATTTGCATAAAATGGAATGCCGAACATGTTATCATCAGATCGAAGACTGTCACGTCAAATTTATCATCCAAACATTATTGGTTGCCATTGATATCTTTCCGAACATTGACAGCCTGATCAAATTCGTCGAAGAGACCATAAGTGATCAAGGATGTGATAAGATTCCAAAAACATCATGCGATGCAACATCAAAATATGGCATTTTTTTGAAATTGACACCATCATTGAAGGACGATTACATGTTTCGTGCGTACCAAGCGTTCGCATGCATTTCACTAATACCGAAGGTCAATTATTTGTTCGACACGGAGCGAAAGCAACGTTTTCTGATGCACTTGCTGTTGCAGCACACGATTGTCATTCCGAAAAATGCATTTTTCGACGAAGCACAATTCAGCGATCAGTACACAGTCGAATACATATTTGATGTTTTGTCAATGGTCAACCATTCATGCATACCAAATCTGAGCTTTGACACCGTTGGAAGCAAACTTGGCCATTGTATGGCAGTACGGCCCATCAAGAAAGGCGACCAGGTAACTATTACATGCGTATGCAAAATATTTGACATTTCAATTCCAATCATTTTTCTTCATAGGTTTTCATCAATTATTTGGGAAACGATGTTCATAAACCAGTTGAACAACGACAGAAGGCGCTGAAAGGAAACTGGGGGTTTGACTGCAAGTGTGACAAATGTGAACCGGTAGAGCAAACACCCGAGAACGAAGCCATTAGAGCCGATCCATCGTTCAAATATGTGATGCGGAACTGTGAAATTATCGACGACAATACCAAGCGAATGCAACTCAAAAAGCAATGCATCAAATTCTTGAAAAAATACGGCAATCTACCATGGTCAACGGAACTGGATTTCGTTATTGATTGTTTCACATCACTCTAAGCAAATAAGTTAGCGTTTTTTTTATTTTTTTACTCATTTTTTTTCGTCACATTCATACCAATTTCTTTGTGTCCAACTGTCCAAGTTAGAGATTAAAGCTAGTTCTTAGTTTGAAATAGCCATTTTTGTGTAAGCTAGTTGTCGCTTTCAATCTATTCATTAAATATTATATTTAAAAAAAAAATTGATCAGATTCAGATCAACTGACAAAAAACAAACTACATTAGAAAATTCATAATGACTGAACTCTGAATGAGAGAAAACTTTTGTCAATTGAAATATTTACATTATTGCAATATTCACTTATGAAAATGTAATTTATACAATGTTTTTGGTATGAAGTTGAAAGTAGTCCAATTGTCAATCAATTCAATCTCTTAATCGAAAAAAACATTCGATTTTTTTGAAAACATAAGAAAGACTCTATTTTTTGAACTCAAAATAGTTTATCGTCAATACGTTGTGGTGAGTGTTTTTTTATAAATCATAAATTTTTTGTTGAGTTTTTTTCTTTTTCATTGCAAAATAAAACATGAAAAATAATAAGAGAAATTTCAAATTTTGAAATTTAATTCGAAAGTTGCTAATCGCACTTTATCGTAATAATTTGATAAAGAAACAAAAGTGAGTCTAATGTCAAATTTAAATATGCATTTTAATGCGAGTAAAAGAGACAGATGTATAGATTTCACCAACTCCTTTAACATAATCATGACTACAAATATAACGGTAGAGTCTAGACATAATTTATTTTTATTATCACATGAAAATGACACAAAATGTAATTAAAATAACTGTACAATATAACTGTACACGTGAATTTTTATATAAAAACAGCAACACTTATTATCAGTGATACAATAAAAAGATTATCATATCTAAACCACCCATCAATTTCACACATTTGATTTTTTTTATTATTTCATTCAATCTTCTGTACCAATTGGAAGGTTATAATTTATGATGAATTTGTGAGATTTCAAAAAGCACCCAAATTTCATTTTTGTCTTATTGCTCAAAGAAGGCCCACACTAATCACCTCGGTGAATTATTCGAATCACTATATATTAAACGGGGCAACGATCCTATTTGATATTATTAAATTATATTTTCAATCTGTAATTTCGGTGGTCATTCCATATTCCATCTTAAACGTGAAATAAATAAAAGTGCAAAAACCCCATACCATCGTATTCAAAAAAAAAGAAAATGACGAAGGCAATCGAAGCAAAAGATTTTAATTGCAACAAATACAATCCGAAAGAAATTCGAATTGAGGTCGTGGTAGAAGAAGATATTGATGAAGTACTGAGTATGTTAAGAACATTCTTTTACAAGGTAAAATATTATTGAAGCAATGTTAAAGAGAGACTCTTTATAATATATCCATAATAACCAATTGGCATATTTTAAGCGCACGGCTTTTATCATTTAACATAGGACGAACCATTGAATGGTTGCATTAAACTGGGTGCAAGTGCAGTATTAGATAGCCGAACGAAAGAATCTCTTGTCGATGAATGTTCGTTTAAAGCCCTTAATTCACAGGGTGAAATTATTGGTGTAGTTGTAAATTGCTTTAAGGAAAAACGGGTAAATTTATTTAGTTTAATATTTTTTGATTGAAAATGCTAAATTTATAAAAGAAAAAAAATTCTACCTTATGTCATTGCAGAAGCCAGATAACCTAGTTCACAGTTATTCTGACGAATGTGAAGATTGATGGAAAAAACATTACAATTCATGCGAGAGAAGAAAATTAAACTGATACGAGTGTATTGTACATGCTTTTATTCGGCAAAATTATGTGAAAAAAATGAGATTCAAAAAAGTATTCGTTTTACCGTTTTTATCGACTATAAAGTTGTTGGCATCAATGTATTTTTGATTCAGATTTTGGCACAAGAAATTAATTATCCTTAATATTTATGGCAGACGAATTTTGAATTTTTTAAAAGACACATATATTTGTAAAAAAAACAATGAATGTTCATAACTGAAATATATTATTTTAAAACAACAACGGTAAAAACGCTAGTCACATTTTTTTACCAATAAACATTAAAATGACCAAGAATCAATTTTTTAGTAGCGATGCGTGCTAATTTTCACTTAATTTGGCAATTAAGCAGCCCTTTTTATTACGAACTATTTTTTGATTTGAATAATTCGTTAGCTGTTTCCTTGCACCACCGTCGAAGTAATTTTCCCGACGGAGTTGTCGGAATTTCATCAACAAAATAAACGCCGCCACGCAGTTTACAATAGTCGACCAAATTATCTTCGACCATTTTACAAATGTTTTCTTCCGTAATTTGTGATCCTTTTTCGCGTATAATAACAGCGGCTGGAACTTCAATATTCAACTCAGTAAGAACTCCAACAACGCAAACTGCTTTTACTTCAGACGATTTGATAAGGAATCCCTCAATTTCGGATGGTGATATTTCGAATTCGTATGCTATCAAGTCTTTAATTCTATCAATTATATGAATGTTGCCATTTTTATCAATGAAACCAATGTCACCCGTTAAAAAGAATCCTTCATCGTCGAAGGCTTTTGATGTCAAGTCCTTATTTCGGTAATAGCCCAAAGGTGTATACGGCGTTTTAATACAGATTTCCCCATTAGTATCATATCCACATCGAATTCCATCTTTATCAACGATCTTGAATCGAAAGCAACTCAATACTTGACCTGCTGAATCAGTCCCAGTCGAATTGACTGCCACAACTCCAGACATTTCAGTTAATCCATATGCCTGAACAACTTGTCCGTTTGGCAAGTACGTATTGAATTCATTTACCAAAGAGTATGGTGCCTTATATCCACGTATCAGATAGCATTTAACGCTTGACAGATTTGTGGATGAAAGGGCCCGACACTTTAACAACGCAATCATACTGTATGTGACGCTTATTATTTTGGTTACTTTATATTTTTCGATTAGCCGCAAATGTAATTCAGGTGAAAATGTTTGAGTTGTAATGATACGAGTAACGCCGCTAATTGTTCCCAACAAAAGTGTATTGTGGCCAGATATCCATTGCAAGGAACTGTTACTCAGCAGAATATCATCCGATGTGCATAAATTCAAAGCGGTTATCTCAGCAACAATGTTCGCGTGTGATAGACACACCCCTACAAAATGGTTCGAAGTTTTTTTTATTAAAGTAAAACTTGATACTTGGAAGTTACCTTTGAATGGACCCGTCGTTCCTGAAGAGCATAAAATAGCAGCGACATCATTTACTCCATCCACTTCTGCTGGTCTGAATTTAGAAAAAAAATGTAATGGCCGTATTTTGATCTCAATTGTTTTTACTCTTACACAAAACTCTCCTCAGTTCCGGTTTCTGTGAAAAGACTTTCAATAGGTTGCGAATCGCCTTTTGTCCCATTGAATGTAAAAATCCGTGCATTATTTTTCAATTCGTTCAAGCACTCCTTTATCAAATCATAGACTTTGACGTCGCAAATCATAACACTTGGTTCAGTTATTCCAAGCATTCGCATTACGTCTGGTTTTTCAACCACTGTGCTGAGCACATTGACCGGACATCCAATGGAAAATGAAGCAAATACAATTGACGATAAATATGGAACATTTTCCGACATAATTCCAACCACTTGTTTCGGTTGATAGCCCATGTTTTGGAGATTTTGAGCTGCTCGAATTGTTTTCAAGCGAATTTCATCGAAGGTTAAATGGACACCGCTATCGTCGCTTATCTGGTATTTGTTCACAAATTCAATTTTTAATAATTTTTAATAAATATAGTAATTTGTTAAAAAGAGATTACTTACTTGTGCAATTTTCGATCCGAACAATTTCATGGATCTCAACAAAACATGCGCAATATTGATATGTGGATTGTATAAAGGCGGAATAGGACATCCACTCCATTCTTTCAATTTCTCGTTGAAGTTTGTATGAAACATTTTTATTTTAATAATATTTTTCACCAAAATTGATCAGATATTTCCAATGGTTTCTTATTTTCAATATGTTGTTTTGTAAAATGATCTTTTTCGTACGTAATTGATAACACCACAGTTGTTATCAAGCGACTGATTTAATTTATTTTAATTTGGGTGTTTATATACTTTTTCAATTGCGCTGTCTTGGTGACGCAGTGTTTGTCATAATAAAGTACACATACATTGCAGGTACTTTACTTGATAATATTCATCGGACAGATTTATGTATACATCACAAATATTTAAAGTACATAAACAGTAGTCAAACGATCTAGCATGAATGAGATTAATAGAGTTTTGTTGTTTACTAGAAAAAATGTTGTTTGAATCTACATTTGGTTTGGTTATCTGTTTTTGTTTGAAAATGTGCTCCCAACATTAGTTAAAGTGAAAAAAAAAAACAATTTTGGTTTAGGTACATAACACATGTATGTATTGCATAGCTCTCGGTTCAGAATGTAAACATCGGAGCAGCTTATTTCGGCAATTTATATGCGTACATTGGTTATATACGATGCATAATAGTTGATATCAAAAAGATCTGGAAATGTTTATTCGATGATTACATCTTTGTTATTTTCACTCGATTTTGAATCACCTGATCTTGAACAACAGATCACGTAGTCATATTTTGTAATAAATAAAGTCTTATTTCTGCCTCTCGTTTGAATTTGTGTTTTTTATTACCATTAAAAGATATCGACAAATAATTTCCAAAAAATAAACGAATTTTAAATTTATCAAAACAAATTTTTATGTGTGTCCGTTACTTAATAATACGACTTGTTACATTTTCAGTTCCAATTTGTGGTAGTTTTCCAGCTTTTTGTAGGCCAGCCATGACGTTACATATACTACAACTGTCGCCAGCAGCAAAACATTTTGTCACAAAAAAAATTATGACAAAAAATATACGTAATAAAAACTGATTTGCCATCATCTGCTTTATTTCTTTTTCGTTTGCCGTTACTTGCAGGCAAAACTAAACTTCCTGGTATATGGATATGTTATCGTTTGAGTGGGCAGTCCTCGACTGAGCATAGATTGGATTGAATTGATCGTATATATTTGGCTCGTATTACGGTTGAATGCAATTGAAATCAGTGTGATTGCGCACCACCCATCATCACACGTGTTTTTAACGAAATGAACGCAATCGCACAAACACTTTTACATTTACCATAGTAGAATCATATGAATGACAAAAGTTGCAGGGTCATAGTTTTTTTATTCATGAAAAGAGATGAGCATTCCAGTCATTTTGACTATAGACTAAAATGCATTGCATGATTTGTGCACTAGCTTCCATTTGTTCTAAAAGTTCCGCTGTTTATTTGATTTGACTGCTACGTTTCGTTTTATCAAGTATTTTGACCTGATTGTTTTGTCTCCAATACTTTAAAGAACTGAAATTTAATCAAATGAAATGATATAGAACACTGGTTTAAAACTAACAAATTGTATTCTCTACCACTAATTAGTGTGGTGATATGGATTAAAAAACAGAGCGTGGAATATACTCACAATTCTCGGAATGTAATTGAATCCATCATGCTCAAACAATGTGAATTAAGATAATTTTAGAAAATATCATTGACTGAAAAAATTGCTAATTAATGCCAATTATTATTTGGATTAGTTTGTGACGGTTTTAAATTATGATGGTTAAAATATGTCTTTGCAAAGAAAACCTGAAATAGATGAGTCAATCGACAATTAAAAACGCCAAAACGAAAAACGTTCACTTTGCGTCAGTCATCAAAGAGAATTCAAAGGTGAATCAAGCCGTACAAATTTCGTTTTACTTATAAGGTTATATTAATTTCATCGTTCAATAATAAATCTAAAAAATTGATTCGATAAATGTGTTGTTTTATTCGAGGGTTCTCTTTAGAAAATGGTATTTCTTTTACATATGTGAATTTTGCTGTGATAAACATGAGAATAATTGGCACTTATGTTTATTTATCTCAATTGGTCTTAAATAACACTTAAGTTAAGAATATAATGAGACAAATGAACGTCATTTTTCATCAACAAATATGACTTATATTGTAAGAGGCGTATGGTTTTTTTTATTCGTTCTGCGCCTTGTTTCGTTTTTTTTTTTGTACTGAATTTTTATGGTGATGTTGTGGTCGTTGATTGTGAATTGCTGGTATCTGTTAAATTTAATTTTTTATCAACTGATTTGGCCCAATATTCCAAATCCTTATTTGGTAAAGGTGACGCATATGGAAATAGCGACGGATGAATAGTCGGGTATGGAAATTCATTGTTGTCAATTTCAGGCACTGGTGTCACATTTAATTCGCCTTGGTTATTATCATTACTTGTTGTTGGCACCGATGACGTTTCACTGGGAAATGGAGCAAGTGGAACATGTGGAACGTCTGGATTATGTGGAACGATTGGAACGTCTGGATTATGTGGTACGCTTGGATAGTATGGTGTTTGTGAAGCTGCCGGTGCCTGAAGTGTTGGTTGTTTAGCTTGTGTATTTTCGTTGATCGATGGATCGCTTTCTGCATTGTGATAATGATGATGAATTTGTTGCGTTGAATGGTATCCATTACCGCTACCACTAAAAGCTCGTGCCAATTGATAACCAGCTAAACCAGTTAGAGCATAGCCTGCAACGCCACCTAAGAGACTTGGTTTGTTCTGTTGCATGTACATTGGTTGCACTCCGCCCATTCCTCCCATCATTCCACCGCCCATTCCTCCCATCATTCCACCTCCGTATCCACCATAATTCGGCATACCACCCGAAGGGTAACCACCATAACTGGGTTGGTGTGCAAATCCACCATAATGGCTATTGCCACCGTAGCTATTATGATTATTTGTATTCCATCCATATCCTGGTGCCGATTGATGTAAATTCGATCCACTGTTCACACCTGAATAGCTTTGTTGTGGATATTTTGCGTGTACGTTTGAGGCCGAATAGCTGGGTGGTGCAGCACCATGACTATAGGCTGGTGGCGCAGCATTTAAATTAGTTTTTCCAGCACTTGGTCCTGCCGAATAAGCTGGCGGCGGTCCTTGTGGTGCTGACGGAGTATGCGATGCAGTGTGAGCTTGTTTTTGTTGTACGGGCGCCGCCTGAGATTTTGGTGGTGTCTCTTGCACATGACCCCGACGACGAACGCTCAAATTGCTATTGCCTTTTGGTCGACTACGTCCAAATCCAAATGAACGTTTTGGTTCACCAACACTCAAATCGATATTCACCACCAATAATATTAAAAACAGACATAAACAATTTAACTGCATTTTTGCATGTACTATTTCTTTAATTCACAAAACAATGTTCTCTTGAAAATTCACTTGAATTGGTGTGTCTCTTTAATTTCGTTTCTCACTCGCAGCTTACGTGATGAATGGCTCAAAAGTTGATCATTGACTGAATTCATCGACAGTGAAATAAATTTGATAGAACTTGTTTATGTATGGTCTGCACTACTTGAATCCATTTATTATTCCATCAAATCCAATTTAGAGTCGAGTTATTTACTCTCTTTCTTTGCTTATTCAAGATGTCTTCAATTTATTAAGATTTGCGTCTACACTTTACTTAGCCAATTTAACCGACCGCTGACTATTGTGCAAACGGCGGTATTTATTCACTCGCAGTAGGCAAATTTATTTATTGTATCTCTGAAATACGAAATAATAAATGTGTTCCAAAGTGCCAAAAACATCTATGTCTCTCTCCTCCTCTTTTGCTCTTTCTCTCTCTATTTCATTCACAACGAAACCAAGTGTTGATACACAAGATTCAAAATATGTCCAATTTTCCAATTGAATATCATTGGCCGCAATACTAAATAGCGAATACGTCAACTGATACATTATTTACATTTGCAGCAATAACAAATTATGACAAATTCATGAATATTCTAGATTTTCTTCCATTGATCACGTAGCACCTTTTTTTTGATATTTTTCTAACAATCACACTTTCTACATGCACCTATTTTCATGACAAATTTATTATTAGAATGGTCGAAAATGATCTAATGCAATTTTAAATGAATTTTTAACGATTTCACGTCCCACAATGTCTCTACGTAGAGTGTGGACGAAATGTGCTACAAGTGATTGTCGAGCCAATTTTTGAATCAATCTTTGAAGATTGATGTTTTTTATTCACGTTCAATGGCATTGATGCCTATGCTAATATTGAAGATATAAAAAAAACGACTACATGCCAAAATAAAGAGGCTTACGTTCGCAAGATGACTCTTCCGCATGGAACCGAAATTTTGGGAATAAACTGAAATTATGGTCTATGTTTGGTTGCAGTAACTTAAATCGCTGTGAAAACTTGTGAATATTATTTTTTTATCAATATAAATAATCTCACAAAGTTTAAAGAAATTTCAATCAAAAATATAGTTACCCCCATTCAAAATTTTCAATATATAACATATAATATAAAAATTTTGTATGGAAGGCATCCCTAATATGCATTGAAAATTTTTTTAAATCTCGGAATGTAATTTTCTTGTGGAAAAAACAACCTGTCCAAAGTTTTACGTCATTACACTGCCACAAGGGCATGGCTATATACCATACAAAAATAATTTTTTTTGTGAAAAACTCCCCACTACACATTCTTTCAAAGTTCAAATTGAAAGAATATCATTTTAAGGCATTTTTCACACAAGTGCCTCTTCAGAGTCTAAGTTTTACACCGATCAATTAATGTCGCTGAAAATTTGACCCAGTCTATTCCTCGTAGTCCCCAATCATCCTATAAAGTCAGATTTTGAATTTCATGTCTGAGCACGAAACCATCGTGTCACCAAAATGGTTGAAAAATGATCAAAAAATGTATGGATGTGGGTACTCCATTCGGACCAAAAAAAATTACACCGGTCAACGATATTGCTCAAAAACTAATCAGCTCGTCTCCTAGTAGTCCCCAATCATCCTCAGTGTTTGCGAAATTTGTGAATTCATTATTTATTCTCAAAATATGTGTTTATATATATGGGTGAGCCGTATGCGAACGAAGTGTGTGGACAGCGGCTACGAATTGTATGAGAACCGAGAACGCACAGTGACGTACTCGCTATTTCTTTTATACGCAGTAGAATTCGTATACACACTTCGTTCGCATTCGGCTCACCTATACAGTGTCTGGAATCGCTATATGCTTGCAATGTTATAAGATTCAACCAATAAAGAAAGCGCCACCTAGTGTATTCCGTACTCAAACTAAATTTGAATTAAAAAAAAATCGTTTAGTTCGCAAATATTCTGAATGTAATTTTAAATGTAGGTCGGAAAAACTACCAATCGATTTTTCTCGCTTTTCCGATGGGAAATCGAGAAAAATAGCGAAAATTCGGAACCCCCATTAAGGGAGTCGACCACGAGCACTCGTTTTCCAGAACACTTTGGACCAGGTCGGATCCACCTGCTCCACAAGATTCATTTCCAGCTCATTTCATCTCACAATCGCTTATGAACGCAGTTTACTCTATAATATAATTTGAAATGAAGCGAGATGTCATGAGCTGGAAGCTTGAGAACACTTTGGATCAGGTTGGGATCCACCTGCTCCTCAAGATTCACTTCAAAGAGTTCTTATTTCACGCATTGGTCATAAGCCTCTTGTTTAATAATGCAGTTTTCGAAGACCCAAATACGTTGGTACAGACATGTATTCACGCGCAAAGAGCAAAGGCAAAACGATCACTTGTACACATGTGCTTGTGTGTGTATTTTGACGTCTTTGCCGCAAATGTTTGTTGACATTTTTCAGAAGCACACTTCACTCGCTGAACACTTTTTGCATGCCTTTTTAAATTAAAATAATTTGCTTTAATTTTTGCTCCACAAAAAAAACATTTGGTTTAATACAATTAAAAATATAATCAACAAGTTTTTATTTACACTGATTATTTTTTAGCACGCTTAGCTGTCAAAGCAATGTTATGGATATATGACACATGAAAGGGTTAAAGGAAGAACGTGATGTAGAAAAGTTCCGCGGAAAAATGTTCGGGAGATATTTGATATCAAATAGCTAAGCTAAATGATATCAAATATACGTAGCTAAGCTATTTGATATCAAATAGCTCCCGACCATTTTTCCGCGGAACTTTTCTACATCACGTTCTTCCTTTAATCCTTTCACATATATAACATATCTGACCGCCAGGTGGCTGTTTGTAGCTAAGGGGACAGATATATGCTTTAGACGTACCGGGTGATTTTTCCAAACTCTCGAATGTTTTGAGTTCTTAGAGAGCACTCCCACTGGCTTCTCAGTGTCTCCACTAATTTGCACAACTTTCAATCTTGACTTTTAGTACCTAGAATTGGCTTAACCTTCAATACCTCCTTTCGAACTAATGATTTCAAATCACATGCCCCTCTGCCAAATCGACAATTTTCAATATTTTTTCAAACTCTCGAATGTTTTGAGTTCTTAGAAAGCACACTTACTGGCTTCTCAGTGTCTCCACTCGTTTGCATAACTTTCAGTCTTGACTTTTAGTACGTGAAATTGGCTTGACCTTCATATAAATACCTCCTTTCGAACTAATGATTTCAAATCACATGCCCCTCTGCCAAATCGACAATTTTCAATATATTTCCAAACTCTCGAATGATTTGAGTTCTTAGAGACCACTCTCACTGGCTTCTCAGTGTCTCCACTCATTTGCACAACTTTCAATCTTTACTTTTGGTACCTAGTATTGGCTTAACCTTCATATAAATACCTCCTTTCGAACTTATGATTTCAAATCACATGCCCCTCTGCCAAATCGACAATTTTCAATATTTTTTCGAACTCTCGACTGTTTTGAGTTCTTAGAGACCACTCTCACTGGCTTCTCAGTGTCTCCACT